AAAAACACTGTCATCTTCATTGTATCATTTTTACCATCGATTAAGAGACACTATTTTTATCGATTACCTATTTAATGCTTTCATTGCAGATCTACTTTATGCATTTATGGCGTGCACAAAATGACAAGCATCCACAATATTTTCATTGCGTTCTTTTTCCACAAGAATACTAATTTTGATACTAATTTTTAACTAGCCTTTGAAATTTATTTTCATTGCAATACATTGAGCAAACCGAGTGTTACTAGGATTCTTCGAATGCAAAACTATGGTAAATTTTAACTTTCCAGTTTCTAATTGAGTTTGTATTCGGCACTTGACGCGCTTAATGCGATCAATGCGAATGGGAGCTCGCTGAAGTTCCACTATTCTGTACAGTCGCGGTATTTCTGAACGATTATATCCGTCAGCGAAATTCATCGGCAAAGTATTCTCCCCTTTGAAAAGAATTCTTCTGGCACGCGAACTAGGTAAACATTGTCACTATTCCAAGGGGGCGCGTGTATATATAAGTTCGAAGCATCGTAAAGGTTAATTTAACGCCAATAATCGAGTGTCGTCGCAGCCACAAAAGGGTTGACGATTAATAATAGATGCACATTCAGGACAATCAACTCTTACCTTATTTTCGATACCACCGTGGAGGTGAAGTCTAGCTGAGGGAATCCTAACTCCGATGGCCTGACATCCTCTAAGCTGCTGTACCTCACGTAGGTGCAGGCTGGCGTAGAAATAACTGAAAGTATATATAGGAAGAGTGTCAGTCTGTGCTCGATAATAATAACCTATTAATTGAGCTCTGATAATTAATTATTACGTAGAAAGTTCCCGCTTTATACTGCCGTTAGAACATTTTTTTTTTAATATAGTTTCATATTAACGTTCGCACAGTTTCATGAAATCCAGGATCTTTTCAGATTTCTTTTTAATAATTAGTGTACAAGAAAATACAGAATAAGTAGGGGTTAATTTATTTCATTCTTTTATAGATCACTTTGGTAAATAATATTTAATGTATCCAAGAAATATTTAATCTAAATAACGTAGTTTTCTATAATTAAGATATCTACGATTAAAATCGAAAATTTTATAAGGTTTTTATCGGAGCAGTTAAGATGATAAATTGTTATTAATGCAAAANTAAGATGATAATAAATTGTTATTAATGGAAAATTGTTATTAGTGCATCATATTTGTTCTAGGTTTATAAACGCATCCACAAATTCATTCCTATACTGTTTATTTTGGTAAATAATATTTAATGTATCCACAAGAAATATTTGATCTAAATAACGTAGTTTTCTATAATTCAGATATCTACGATTAAAATCGGAAATTTTATAAGGTTTTTATCGGAGCAGTTAAGATAATAAATTGTTATTAATGCAAAACGAATGCAACATATTTATC